TAGAGAGATGAAAACTATTATGAAAACTCTATCACGTAATGTCGCTGATGCAGTTAAACATGGATGTACATCAGACAAAGCCACAAGTCCATTGTGCTGTTCTTGTTTGAATCATTAGACTCAAACGTCGAAAAGTAAATATTCTCGACAGTGAACCTAGCAAAAGTCATGAAGAACACGTGCAATGGGGGCTCTCTTCCATCTGTAAAACTAGGAGCAAAATTCCACTCCCAGTGCTGCGCCTGGTTTCTAAGGGGGGCTTTCTTGGGAGCCAGGATGTTGCGGCAATTGTTCTATGCCTTTGGAACCTCTTGCTGTTTAAGTTAAAGGGATTTGGGCCAAAAATTATATCAAACGGATGACTTCCTTGCATTTTTCTAATGGATATACATACACTCCAAATATATGAAACAAAAAAAGTCCAAAACTCAGGTTTTTATAATTCCTCTCCCAGTCTGTGGAAACCTACTAGCCTGACTCTGTCTGTAGGAGAACCTTCCTTCTGCTGCTCCAGTCAAACCTTGGTTCTAGAATGTCTTGGTCCTCTAGCAGTTTGGTTCTCTGTCAAGTTGTTCACGGAAAATATGTCCTGCTTGTCTAACAAAACCTGAGTCTCGGTTCTCTATCAGACAACACTTTCACGCTGATGCCTGTACGCTCGGTCACTCGTCTCTCAGGTGACAGACAGAGGAGACTCAGTTTTTGAACATACTGCTTCTTGCACAGCTTTTCGGAATGAATTAAGTTCAAGAACTGAGGTTCCGTTACTGAATTTGACTTTAGCTGCATCGGAGAACTCTCCATTGCCCTGAGAACTGGGACCAGTAATGCACTGGTTTATTTCATTTCCATATACTTTTCGCTAATATGTGTGGTTTTAAAAGAACTAATAAGAAATGAGTAATTACATTTTAATTAAAATATACTTAATGTTTTCATCTATGTGGGTGTTAGATTTAGCATGTATCACAGGTGGCTGTTTTAATAGATCTTATTGCTCTTTAAAATTAATAAATTAAAAAATATAAGCCAAGGCTATTTTTAAGCTATAGTCTCAGTGTCCCAGGAATGTACGTCCCTCAAAGACATGAGTAGCTATTTCTATAGTTAATTTGGCAGTGACTCATTAAAGAAATGTCTTTCAGCTTTCAGGTCATCTTGAATGCACTGGTTTTAATCACAGCACTTACTTTTAGTCATTTTTTCCTCTCTCATTTATAATTAATAACTATGTAATACAGTAAAATCCACAGTCTTGGGAGGAGAGCCAAGCAAAACGAGAATGACATGCCATTGCTCCACCTCATATCTCCCCAGGCCAGGCACAAGGGCAGCTCAGGAAGGGCGGATCGTGTCAAGGGGCAGGGGTCACTTCTGCTCCAGGCTGGACATCTGTGTTCCTTACATTTCATTAGGTTTTGTTGTTTGTTAGAGTGTTGTTTTCATTCATGTCTGAGGATAATATTGCTGACAACATCACTTCCTAATTCAGGGACATATAGATGTCAAATTTCATTAATATTAGCCTTCAGGGTACTTTCAAATCCTTTTATATAATACAAAAATATTATTGGATAGTGCATATATTTCAAATAAGTTCAGGCTACCTAGGAATAATTAAAAAAAAATATTTATCCCAGCTATGTCTGCCAATGATGGTCTCCAGGTACGGTCATTAAAAAATACATATGGATAAAGTCTAAAGGTACTAAGCTACGTGGCTGTGTAACTGAGCCTTGCTTTTGCTGGGCCTTTCTCGTCCATGAACTGAGGTGAGATTAGCTATCTCATAGGAATGCCGTGAGGGTTAAATGAGCTCACGTGTGCACAATCCTCAGTGTTGTGTCCAGCACCAAGTGTTCAATACACTGTAAATATTATTTATTCATGTTATTTCTTTTTTACTGAATTCATCACTTTCATTTTTCTCTTCTAAAGGATGTATTCTGGGATTGTCCTCCCAGCCCCTCCTTTCCCTATCTCTTGTGATTATCTGATACTTTACGTCTCTGCTTAGACTTGGGTGAGATTATGAATTTGGCAAAGGTTGAGGTAGGCTCCCCCTTCCAGCACATCTTATTCCCTCCACCCCCTGGCACCCACCCCAGTAGCTCTCATCCAGCACCCCCACCAGGACCCACTTCTGAAAGCTCTCTTTGTGGTAAAGCTCTCATCCTTCGCCACAGCGCCCCAAAGGTATAGCAGGTGTCAGCACTAGCGGCTCAGCGGAAGCCCCTCACAGAAGAAGAAGGTTACGGTGCTGGGGCTCCTGAGAGCGTCATTCTAAACCAGTTTCTTGATTTCTTGGCCAGATTCGCTCACTTCTTTTAGGCCCCAAATCCACCATGTATGGGTTCGTGCAAAGATCAAATTATAATGTAAATGTGAGAACTTTTGGAAAAGGCTATGCAGGCAGTAGTTACTAGGAAAGCTCATCTTTAATGATTCAGTTCAAACTACTTCCTCCGCACAATTGTTGCGGACAGAGCGCTGCTGCAGCCCGCTCTTGTGTCCCGGAGGGAATCGCACTCTTTCTCGAGCCCCCACTGTGCAAACCCCGATCATATAGCATGTTTGTTTGCATTCCTGCCTCCACACAGCAGACATGCTTGCTTTGAATTTACAGAATGTTGTAACTTTTACACACTCACTGAACAAACAGAACCGGCATTGCGTCGTGTTTCAAATTGGTGTGGCTGATTTGTGTGCTATCATGTGTCTTGTTCCACCAAATCCCAGCAATCTCAATTGATCCTCCTCTCCTCTGACGTGTTAGCACACCCAAGAGCTGTAGTAATTTCAAGACTGGGCGTGTTGTGAGGCGGAGCGAAGAGGTCGCATCTCCCCAGCAGCCTCGCAGGAGCTGTGAGACCTCCTTCTGTTTATCTCCGAATACCTCGTGCCTGACCCAGTACATGGTACACAGCAGGGGGATAACAGTCGAGTAAACAATCAAAAGAAATTTTTTTAATAGGGACTCACGAAGACCCACAAGATCTAAGGACTCTCTAAGAGTAAAGGTTTAGATTTCGCAGCAGGACACACAGAAACTCTCCCAACACGCTGCGGATCACACTGTGCACCGCGCACTGGCCTCTGGGCGGTGCTGCCAGTGCTTTTCCACACGGTGGAGGCTGCGACCAGACGGCCCTCTAAAGAGTCCCCGAGTCATCATTTAGCCAGAGTGTAAGTCTTCTTTTTAAAAGATAGCAAAAAAAAAAAAAAAGGTTGCCATTGTTATAGGGTTCTTTCTATGCTTAGCTATCCATATTTTAACCATAATGAACTTTGGTTTATGACTTTTGTTATCATGAATTTTTCCTGCATATGAATTCAGCTGAATCAAGCTCTTCCCATGAGTTTGTTTTTCCCTAGCAGTCCTGTCTTATGTAACATCAAATCTAGACTCCTTTGTATTTCTATCTGGCTTCATAATAAAGCTTCACAGTCGGTTGCCTTCTGGATCACACTGGGGAAGGGGAAGAGCTGGACTTTCATTTTGCAATTATTTTAGCCTAGGCCAGTGGACACTTTCTTTACCTTCCTGTACAGGTCAGCAATTTAAAGTCGCAATATCCATATAAATCACTATTTATTGTGGCCTACCCTGAAAGTTCTGAGTTAGTAAAGGCATGAACTGAGCGTCTCAGGCAGAGAGTTTGGGAGGACCCCTCTTGCTGCTTAACCAAGAGGTTGAGGGGGCTTACGGCTCCAGTCCAAAATGTTTTGTGTGCAGGAAGAGCGGTATAAATCCTAAATGTTGGCAGCAGAAGACATTTTTTGGCATGAGATATTTTTCTCTTTTTTTTTGCCAATGAAGAAATTAAAGTTGTTGTCCCCTTTCTTTTCTTTTAGAGAGTAGTTAGTCTGCGTGTAAGAATTGTTTTTGAGAATGTAATTTCCCACACTGTAACCCTGACTGGATCTCACTCCCGACGGTGTGAGTTGCGCCTCTCCTGTGCCCGTCCCCGCCCGCCCGGCAGGAGTGCCTGTCTGAGCGCCCTGCACATGGGCGCCTTCCCCCAGTGCTCCGTCCTCCGAACTCCTCCTGCTCTCGGCCCCTGACTAGTGTCTCACACTCACCTTGCCTTCTGGTTGCACAGAATTGTCCCTCCTGTATTTACTAAGTGTCTCCACTGATGAGTTGTCGCTCACCTGCTCGTTGTGTTATTAATAAATGTGAAAGCCCTGAAGTTTGCATGATTCCTCCTTTTTTCACGCATATGAATGGATTCAAGGTTATCCCTGTGACACTGTTGCTCGCTTGCACTCAGTTGTGTTGCTTTGGGAATAACCCGGAGTGTGCCCAGAGGGATGTATTGGGAATAGGAATGTCATCTGCCTTGCGCTGCATGGAAAGAGGGGGAAAAAGGTTAAAATGTGCAGTGTTAAAGATAAGCTCTTTGATCCAACCATCGGGGACTCATGCAGTGACCCACACAGGGCCTAGCGCGGTGCCCCACACCGGGGTCAGTACCTCTGCACATTTCCTGAATGAGCTAATGGGTGCAACTCAATAGGTTAATACATTCCCCAGATCATTATTCTGAAGAAGGAAAAAGACGTCAAGTATTTTGGGGTTGTTATTTGGCATCACATTTCAAAAAGTGGATTTCCTTCTTGTAAAAGGCTTACTATAGCTAGAAACTGAGTCGTGCTTTGCTCACCACCAGCCGGGATCACTGCCCAGAACGGTTAGATACGAGGGTCACTTTCATAATCCACCTCGCAGTATAATGTCTCATGTTTTCTGCCCAGGTAGTTCCAGTAGAACTGTTATCACAAGTTATTACCCTTAAGTCTAACCTATTCAGAAATAGGTGGCTGATGTTGTCATTTGAGGACTAAGAAATATTTGTCTAGATGTTTGATCCAATCTGTATTTTTATTGAATGTGTAATTGGCAAGAAAATAGCAAAGACAAATTTAAATGCTTGCATCTCTAACCTTGTCACAGCGTTTGAGCATTCATTCATCATCATTATCTTGGATTCCCGCAGCCAGCGGACTTTATAGGAAAGCAAGCACTGAAACAGATTAAAGCCGAGGGGCTGAAACGGAGACTGGTCTGCCTCGCCTTGGCAACAGACGATGTCGATCCGGAGGGAAATGAAAGCGTCTGGCACAATGGGAAGGTGAGTGCTAAGGGCCTCCTGGCTGGGGGCCACTGCGGCGTTTCTGCAACGGGAACTCCCCTCGGCTCTCTTTCCTTTTGGAAGTTTTGCGCTTTATTTATCTCTTTTTGGGATGACATACCTTTGATTTCTGGACTGACATTCAAGAAACAGAAATCAATTAACTAAAAGGAAAACAAAATGCTATGTGGTTTTGAAAACATAAAATTCATATGCTTTGATTAAAGAAAATAAACCCAAGAACTTGAAAGACATTTGACGAGGAAGGTATGATTTAGAGAGTAAAATCATCTACTTGCCCACCACCTCCATATCTGTGAATGCAAGAGATAGATTCTATAATGAATTTGGCTCCTGACTTAGCTTCTTTCAGAAGAAGGCAATTGTAACTGGAGCACATTAGCAGGAAGAAATTTGCAAAGGAAAACATCTATGACGATAAAGGGTAGAACCTTAGGGAGCAAAGTGAAAAGTGGAAGCCACTCTGTTCCTCAGGACGAGTAGAAGTACCTTTTTCTCACTTTGCAATGCTGCATGTCGTTTTCTCTTTTGGTACTCAGTGAAACCAGGGCATTCGTGTTGGACTTCATCTCCACCCCTTCCCATGACTACTTGTAACACCCAGTTTGATGCACAACTCAAGGTGTTGCTGCATGTTGGCTGGGGTCATCAGGCGGGTGCAGGGCAGCTCAGCTTAGACCAGGGGGTGGGCACAGGGCCTTCTCCTAAACAGTTGGTTCACATGGAACAGTGTCTGATTGGCCAAAACCCAGGGACTCACACACTCCACGCCTCAGTTTTTACTCATGCCCTGCAGCCTACTTAATATGAGTTCCCATTTCCCCCATCTCTTCAGTGACGAAAAGAGCACTGGAGGTGCATAAAGCCAGTGGGATCAAATCCAGCCTTTGGATTACTAAAGAAATGGCCATTCGGGCCAAGGCATGGGTCAGTCGGGCATAGAGCTAACTTCTACATAGCTCCTACTGTGTGCTGGATGTTTTTTATGTACTCTCTAATCTGATTTTGCCACAGCCCTTCCAGATATTTATGGTCATCTTCATCTTAATGAGGCTGATCATTCTGATGAGGCTTTGAGGCTCAGAGAGGTGAAGTAGCTTGAGGTTATACAGCTCACGATTGATGGAGCTGATTTCTGGCCCGGGCGTATCATTGGACTTTGAATGGCTTATCTTTTCTTCTAAGCCAGGCCAGATACCCCAGTTTACTTTCTTCTCTGTCTCTGCTGACGCCCCACTGCATTGTCTTCAGCACTAATTATTTACCCACAGTTCTCGTACACGTGAGTAGCAGACAGATGCCATTAGACAATAAGAAGCCAACATACTTTTCTCAGATCTCAGACTCTTTCTTAAGTGCCTCACCCATAACTGTGCTGTCTTTTTCTTGTGTTTGGAACTTTCCTACTCTTAACTCACAGTTTCCCCTTCCTCTTTCTATTATAAACCTCAGGTTCAGCCCTCTTTTCTTAATAGGCTCTTCTTCCAATTTCACATTTGCCCACAATTTCTGCTAATAACCACCTCTGCCACAAACTCACCGTGTGAGCCTCTCTGGGCCTCAGTTTTCTCATCTATAAAATGAAGCCATTATAAAAGATAATGTCTGAGGTTCTTTTCAGTTCCGATTAATTTTTCCTAGTGGTTATATTTCTCCCACCTCATCTTTCTTCTGTTTTACATTTTCACTGTATTTCATCCAGCTTTCCCATTCTTAATAATATAGTGCACGACATTCTTCCACCAACTTTCTGTTTTACTGGGCCACGGAATGACAGATCACACTATAATATTCCGTCTGCAATCCCACATCAGCTAGGATGAATTGACAGACTCTTAGCATGTTAACTATGATGACCCCCGGTTAAAGGTAAAAAGCCTGGACACCTGTACCTTATATTCACACAATGTTATATGTTAATTATGCCTCCAAGCTGGGAGGGTGAGCCCTGGAAACCCAAGTCCATTTTTGAATTTTCCTTTGCCCTATCTATGCACTGAGTTTACATGCTGTATTGTTCATTTTTCCTACAGCATGCCATCTGCTTACAGAGAGCTTAGCCTACTTGTAGGATCCTTTATTAATACTATCGCCGTTAAATTTTCTGAAATCAGCTTATCTGCTGTTTGGTGCTTAATAGGGTCAGCATTTTATCATGTGGACAACCCTCTTTGATCCTCTTTATGCTCTAGAATAATGTGATATAGTTTTTGCTTATTATTTCCTGATTTTGTCTGGACTCGGACTGCCTTTGGTATTTGACATTCCATTTCTGCAAATATTTCCATTGTTAGAGATAGGGTACAATCTTGTGATCAACAAGTTTTTATTGAGTGTCTACTCTGTGCCAGCAATATTCTAGGCACTAGGGTTGCTGCAGTGAACAAAATAGGCCAGAATCTCCGTCCCCGTGGAGCTTAGATTCCAGGGGCAGGAGAGATCAACAATGAACATGATAAATAAAACAAATGGCAGTCAGGGAGTGAGTAGCATGCTGAGGAAAAGGAAAGTCCAACTGGGGAGATGGGCAGTACTGGAGAGAGGAATTACAATTTTAAGTAAGGTTTCATTTTTTTTTAAATCAAGGCACAGGGGTGGGAATGAGAAGGAGTTTCCCTGAGTTTTAAAAGCAACTTTGCTGGTAAATAGGTGTTGAAGAAGTTTATGAAAAAAGGAAGTTTGGAGAATTTAGAAAGTGTTCTTTTTCATTATTCATAAACCACCCGAGACAACCAAACAATGTATCATCCAATTTAAATTATGTGACCACCTTCAAAGGCCGTTTACCAAGTTATCTTCTCTAAGTCAGTTAGAGGCATCTTCAGGTCCCATGAGAGAAGAATGAGAAAAGGCTAGAAATAAACAAGCCTTCTTTACATTAGTACAAAGAAGGCCAATGTTTGGTTTCACAAAGAATATATGGAGATAATTGTACTTGAACAACAATAAAAAAATAAAAGTAAAAAAAGAATCTGAGAATGAGCATCTACTAAGCAGGTTGTTCTTGTTATTCACTGAACAAAAACAAGCAATGAATCAATTGAATGTGGAAGATTTTAAGGTAGAAACAATATAAAATTTATGCTAGAAAAAATATGTCTCCCTGGATATTTAGTAATAGGATAAAAGAAAAGGACAGACTTCTAAAATACTCTGGGCAGTTAACTCCAAGATCAGTGAGAAATTAAAGGAGAAATGAAAGTAATCTAGCAGAAAGCAAAGCATTCAATAAATATTTTTAAAATAGCTTTCACGAAAAATATGCTACTTCTTTAACTTGCTAAAGCAGAAAGAACTGTAAGGCAATCACTGCCAGGATTTTAAGAGAGAGGAGGGCCTGAGAAGGTGATGTTCACATCCTCAGAAGAGTGACTCTGGGGTTCTGTCTTAGCGAGTTAGGGGATTTGGCCAAGAGACTTGCTCAGGCTTCTTCCTGTTTTCTTAAGATGCCCAAGCAAGTCAGGCTAACTTTCCCAACTCTCCAAAAACAGGTCTCTGTTTTACAGACTGGGACATGAAACCAAAGTTACCAAGAGAGTCTTTCAAAAGCAACAATTAAAACTCCAACCTCCTTGATGCAGATTTCTGTCTTATATCACTTAACTAAGATCTAAAGGAGAAAAGCAATTTTAAAACATGAGTGTTATCCAGCAATATTTTGGCAGTTAATAATCTGCAAGAGAGAAGCCTTTACTAATGAATGCATTTATGGGTTTTTTGTTTTTGTTTTTTTTTAATCAGCCAGTTCTCACCATTAGAAGTTCAGAAGTGATACAGGCATCTGATTTATGATTTTAAAAAACTGGGTCTACAGAGATAGGAGTCTATATTTAATTTCATAAAAGTATAGCGTCTAAAAGACTAGACATACTGTAAAAACTGTTGACTCCAGTGGGCTGTTTGCTGAGGCAGCTGAAAGGCCACCAGGCTGATGCACGTCGAGAGTGTGTCAGGGCAGCAGCTGCGAACAGCCCAGTGTGCTGGACGGCAAAGCTGCACGGACCAGTGCGACGTTGTGTAGCCAGGAGAAGCCGTTTGGAGCAGGACCATAAATCATATTTGGCTTTTGTTGTATTCCTCTTACATTTTTAAATGTGGTATTTTAACCTGATGTATATGTGAAAGTATTTTAATCTGCTTTTCCTTCTATTTCAAACTTTGCTGTAGACCTTTAGATCTGGTTTCGACTAATCCTCATCTTCTAATCAGCCTTGTCATACCGAAATTTTTTTGTAGCATAAAGCTTTTGCTTTCCTCTCCTATGCTTGAGTCCTTGTTCAGTGTTTTTCTCTGTTTTGCCATCCCAAGCATCTTATTTAATTGTCCTTCAGTGGGACTGTCCATGCCTAACCCCATGTGTCCACTCATCCTGGGAAGTTTCCTATCCCACGTCCACCAGCCTAATCTCATCCACCTTCAAAGTGTAGCACAAATCTTGGCTTAATGATGTTGACTTAACACTCTTGACTTTGTGTTATATTTCCTTGGATCTCTATGTTAATTCCTCAATGAGGCTGGAAGCTCCTGAGTGTGGGAACCAGGCCTCACTAATTCTCTAGAAGGTACCGAGTAGGGCTGGAAGGGTAAAGTAAACATGTATTTAAGTGCCCAGCAATTGCCAGGAATTGCTAAATGCTATTTGTAGTCACACATAGAATGTTCACCTCCCATTGACTGTATATCAATAAATAGTTTACTGATAATAAACTGTTGACAGTTTATTGACAGTTAACTTTGGTTTTAGATTTTTCTCCCATATATTTATTATTGCCATACTAGTTTGATAATAGAATTTCTTTTAAGTTCAAAGTGAAACTATTCCATTCTTTCTCCTATTAGATCTTTTGCCATGGAAATGAGCAAAATGCTGCCAGATATTAAGAAACTAGAAGTTATTATTTAAAAATGAGAAGTTTCAAAATAATATACCTATATACTTTGAGAATTACTTTTTGTAATTTGTAAATTTTTATCAATTTTCTCAAAAAAGTAAAGTTTCCCTCCTGGTGTTTTACCCACAGACAGTGTATCATAAAACCTTCAGACTGTGAGGTGCATCTCTAGTTTAATGTCCTCACCTGGAGGGGAGAGGCACAGCGCTGTGGCCAGCAGGCTGAGGATCACCAGGTCTTGTTTTTCAGGTGGTTGGCAACACGACCTCTGGAAGCTACAGTTACAGCATCCGGAAGAGTCTGGCTTTTGCATACGTCCCTGTAGAGCTAAGCAAGGTAGGACAACAAGTGGAAGTTGAACTTTTAGGCAAACATTACCCAGCAACCATCATACAAGAACCCTTGGTACTGACGGAACCAACCAGAAACCGGCTCCAGAAAAAAGGTGGAAAGGACAAAATTTGAAAAAGATCTTCAGCAGTCAACTGAGCTATGTGTGCAAAATTATAATTGATTTGCAAGGAAACAGGGAAAACCAAGGATTTATTTCAAAATCATCACAATCTAGACTTAGAACCTTAAAACCTGTCTCCTCTTTTCTTTGGAAGATAGCATAAAGGATTAGTGCTTTACATTGTTCCAGATGAAAAAATTAGAAGAGAATGCTTTTAGTATCCTATATTGTTGCTTAAAAAATTCAATCAGTAAAACATTTAGGTGTTTGCTAATATACAATTATTATTGCAATAGAATTAGAGGACATTATATCATTTCATTTTATTTTTAAAGATATTATATAATTTTAGAAACATATACATATGGTTCTTATTACCTGAAAACCAATTAATAAATTATGTTTTACATAAAAATAAATGCAATACTGTTAATGGATTCACTGCATTGAGAAACATCTTCTTAGTTGATGAAGAATAATTTTGATTTTTTAATATATCTTCGATGAAAACAGTAAAATTTAATGCTGATATATAACATTTTATTCAGTTTTCTGAAATATTTATTTTCTTGATGACCTCCCTGAAAGCAGATTTATGGGACATTATTATTGTCTTTTCAAAGGTTGTTTTAGAAGAGAACTTGCAAAATAAAAAACAGTTTTTCAAAGGAAGCGATACTTGTAAACCTTCTGAAATGAAACTGAACTAGAAATAGACTGTGGCAGTACAGACACAGTTTGAATACTGAACACCTCTCTCTGGGAAGAGCTAATGCAAGCTGACATCACACTGTGCTGTTCTGAATATCATTTCACAAAGCACTTGACAAAACAGCTCAGACAAGAGCTTACAGGCTTATGGGATCACCCTTAGCACTGAGCGCAGCAAGAAAAAAATCCATTTAGAAATAATTCTTTGATATACTTCTTGAAATCATTTGGGTTTAGTTGACTGAGTAAATCACATTTTTGGTAAAAGGTACTTTTTCATTTATAATTTATTATACACTGGTTAAACATTTATTGAACTTCTCCTAGGTATTAAAAAAAGATGAATGTGAAACATGATGAGATTTTGTAATTAAAATAGATTTTCAAATAATTTCTTGCAAGTTTTGAAAAAATGTCTAGTTTGTATTTTAAATATTTCATAAAAGTAATTACATATTAGAACACTTCAACATGACATTCATTTCTCTTTGGTATGTCCTTTTAAGTCAGAAAAGGAGGCAGTCCTTCTGGTAACCTTTCCTAATTTTCAAGAATTATCCAGACCTTATATTTTAATTCTGATATTAGGTGCACGTTAATGGCTATGGATGGGAATCAACAGGTCCCAGTTCTCATTTTCTGCCTTTCTGTAGCCCTATAACCTTAGAATATCTATTTACTATCTGTGGATTCCTCTTCTGTATAATAGACTCTTCAAGGTTCTTTCTTTTCTCTTTCTCTCTCTCTTTTTGATGCTATAATAACAAGAAGCAATGTATAGCATTGAATTCATGTCATACAGTTAATAGAGCACTAAAACAGATTCATAAAAGAATAGCATGTTTAGATGAATATTAAACATGTAAAGAAATCCTACCCACAGCATGTTTAAAAAATTTGTCCTGCTTTCCTTTAGAAGTTGCCCTCATTCCTTCTTTTGTATGTTAGGTGCTGTTAGGTCTTATAGGTCACCCCAGCACTCCACTTCCACCCGTACTAGCTTTGGCATCTGCCAATCCAGAGGCTGACCAATGACCTACAAACAACTTGGCTATGGAAAGATGACCCAAGTTCACCAGAACTTCTCTCATGGTAATTTGAAGTATGACCCATCAGGGAGTAAGCTGACTGGTCCTAAAAGCTGGAAATGAAAGGATGTGCAAGAAGCCTTGGGGCAAGGAGAGCTCCTGACAAGGAGAGAAGCCCTGAGAGAGGGGGAGAGCGAAAGACCATTTCTTGAAGCTCTCTGCTCCTGATGGCCTTTTGCCAGTTCTTGGGTGAGAGTGTTGACTCAAAAGAGCCTACTAAAACCAGTAGCTTCTGAAAAGTGAACCATATACTCAGAGAGGCCTCAAAGGGATGGGCCCAGGATTAGGGTCAGCTGTGAACAGCAAACAACCAGCATGCCTGCACGTACCCTGGTGATATGCAGGAGCCGTGTCTACCGCTAAGGAAAATGTTCCCCAGAATATGATGGTGAATGATGGACGCTTTCTTCTAGAGCTTGGAAAGCTCCTTGGAACCGCAAAAGCACTTTCCGGTCAACACATTATCAAAACGTCTGTGGGCGTTTCATTGCTAATGGTCACATCCTAACTGATCTGTCTTTATCCTTTTCTACAAATAGGTAAGGTGACAGAAGTTTTTAAAGGCAGCTGTGTGAGACGTTAAGTAGCAGAAAGATTAGAGTCTCCAATTTTAGTAAGAGGATTTTGTGCATATTTGAATGGAACAAAAAGAAAGATTGGCATTATTGGGAAATGCAGCAGCCATAAAAGGAAGAAAGTTTCAGTTACACAAATAGCATCCTTTAGCTAAGGTGTCAAAAAAGCAGAGGACAAAAGTTAATTATACTCTCTTCTGATGAATCTTCATGTAAAAATAAAAGTGATCATCCTGCTTTTGTTTATCTCTCTGCCATTAGAGAATCTTTAGAATAGATGCTCTATTGTGGGTTATAAAGTGGAAACACATTACTTAATTATATTTTACCCAGGCCTGATTTTTGTAAGTATTAGCATGTCAGGAAGCACAGAGGTGGCAAAGTGGTACAAAGGCTGCTGGTCTGAATGCCAGATGACTTGTTTTTCCCAGCTCTGCCACCAACCAAGCACAAACTGCAGACTCATCTACTAAAGCCTTTCCTGTACTTAAAGTTCTATGAGTAATTACTTCCCTTAGTAAAGTATTATTTGCCTACACAAGTTCATTGAGTACTTACTACAGGCCAGGCACTGGAAAAGCAATGAATAGACATGGTCCCTGCCTTTATGGAGCTTACAAAGTAGAGAGGTCAAACATTTAAAACAACAACAAACAATATATTTAGGGAGGTGTCATGAAAGCTAAGGGGAGAGAAGATTTTGAGAAGGAGAGGCTGGTAAACAGTGTCAAAGATGAAAGATGTCAAGGCTGAGAAGTGCCCCTTGGGTTAAGCAGCAGAGAGTCATTGATATCATTGACATGAACTATTTCAGGTGCTAGTGGGGGCAAAGCCGGACTGAGCTGAAAAATGAAAAGGAAGGAGGGGATGGGTTAAAGAGAGGGCACACAGAGTGTCACCATCCAGGAGCAGCTTCCTAATTATGGCAGGTTATAAAGGGCATCAGAAGGCATCCAGCTGCAAGTAAGAAAATACCCCATTAACAGCAGTTTACGCAAATATTTATTTTATTAAATCACACAGCAAGAACTCTAGAGGTAGTCCCAATGACACCACTAAGTATCTCAGTTCCTTTTTTCCTACTCTGAAATCCTGCTCCTCCAAAACACTTTTTAGTATAAATACTTTGTTGTTGGCAATTGTCAATGTTTTGTTGTCTACCTATCTCTTTCAAATTAGCACACTTATGTTATTTACCTTCATAAACATTGTACATATTCTACATGGAAATTAATTTAAAGAACCCCGATAATATTGTGATAGGTTTGTATGGTAACAGATGTTTACTAGACTTAGTGTAGTGATTAGATTTTAAGGCATATAAATGTCAAATTATTGTATTGTATACCTGAAACTAATAAAATATTATATACAAACTACACTTAAAAAGAAACAACCCCAAGTTATACCATAGGCCCATGACACTCAGACTCAGCTGCGTACATTCAATTTCAAGTGAGTCTTTAGTGCTGGAATTGTTCAAGTTTCTTCAGGCATATCCAGGTCTTCAAAACCCACAGAACGTTATCCTACATTTAAACAGTAGGTTGGAAGTAAACAAGGACAGCAGAGTGATTGTAGATGCAAAGAAGCAGAAGTTCAGTTTCTTCAGTTCTGTCATTCTATGAGATCACTTAGAAATTCTATTTATGTTTATTTATAATACATTATGAAACAGGGCAAATTGGAGGTATAATATTGTGTTCAGTAAGTATAAATTTGAATTCATACATGAGTCTTACTGATTTTGAATAATATCTTTAAAATTCAAATTTCTGTTTTTAATTGTTAACTGTGTGAACAACCAAAGAAAAAAACTAAGGAAATAAAATACTTCACATAGGGCATCAGTGGTATAATTTAATAGTGACCTAAGTTATAACTTTGCAGTAACTTATTAGTTAGTGGACAATTTTTTAAAATTTTTATTATTTATTTATTTTTAAAGATTTTATTTATCTTTAGAGGGGAAGGAAGGGAGAGAAATATCAATGTATGATTGCCTCTTGTGCGTCCCCTTCTGGGAACTGGCCTGCAACCCAGGTGTGTGCCCTGACTGGGAATTGAACCATGATTCTTTGGTGTGCAGGGCCCTGCTCAATCCAGTGAGCTACACCAGCCAGGGCAGTGGACAAATTTTTCACATAAAATATTATTATATCAGACTCTAATCAAAGGAACAGCATGCAGAAATTGTGGACAAGGCAATTAACTAGAAAAAAAATCTAAGGAAATGGTCATTTATTCAGAAAAAGCAATCACATTTCAAAGAATGCTGGGAGATACAACAAAAGATGCTGGACTTATGTTTCGAGGAGAAATCAGTAGAGCAGCATTTGCATGCCTTAATCTTTTTCACCAATAATTGGGCACTTGCTTTAAAGCAATAGATTAAATGATATTAACGTTTGTTATCATTCACCATTTTCTCTGACCTTAGAAGATGAAGAAAAACTTCAGAAGTGTTTAGCATAGATAACAGGAATATGATGAATTTTGTGATAAGAATATTTTAGAGGAAAATTTTTAACTAAGAGACATTTGAAACTTACTGTGATTGGGCCAAAGGAACACAGACATAGAGAGTGCTGCATTTTCTGGAAGTTGTGGTTAAAGGACATTTTTATGAATCTCTGCCAAGCTTAACATTATGTTTAAGTTTTTTTTCTAATTATTTGTACATCTGTTGGTTATGTAAATTAAGAAGACTTGGAAATTAAAAGCTTAAAAAATGTTCTCTAATCAACTATGTACAAAGATAACTTTGTAGGTTAGAAGGGATTGACAAGAATTACTCAAAGTCATGAAAAGCAGAGACCTACAGCCAAGATTGCTCTACCCAGCAAAGCTATCTTCAGAATCAAAGGGCAGATAAAGAGCTTCCTAGTCAAGAAAAAACTGAAGTAGTTCATTATCACCAAACCCTGATTATATGAAATGTTAAAGGGACTTATTTAAGGAGAAGAAGAAGATCAAAATTATGAACAATGAAATGGCAAAAAATACACAAATCTATCAATAATTGAATCTGGAAAACAAACTAAGCAGACAAGAAGAACAGAGACAGAATTGTGGATACAGAGAGCAATTTGATGGTCGCCAGATGCAAGGCAGTGTGAAGAGGTGAGGGGTGTAAGAAGTACAAGTAGCTGGTTACAGAATAGCTGTGGGGATGTAAAGTACAATGTAGGAAATGGAGTAGCCAAAGAACCTAAATGCAGGGTGAATGGACATGAACAATTTTTGGGGGGATTTGCTGGAGGGAATGGGGCTTGCTGGGTGCAGGGCGGGGAAAGGGGGAAAAATCAGGACAGCTGTAATAGCATCCTCAATAAAATATAATTAAAAAAAAAAAACAACCTGGCTTCTTCACTCACATGTATGGCACCTCACCAAGGATGACAACAGTAACAGCTGGCACTGGCAGAACTTCTCTCCCCACGGTGCCTCTCCATGCGACTAACTGTCCCGTAGACAAAGGAGGGAACTTAGCATGGAGAACCAGTAAGGGATACCCTGAGGGGGCTACCAAGGTGATACTTGGGCCATACATGAAGGAGCTGCCAGTGGAAGCTGCAAGCACACAGGAGATATGGCCATGGTGCTAAAGATGCTACCCAGTGCCTCCCAGTGGCTGAACCTAACTGGATCCAGACAGGTAAAGAGGCCTGGGACATGCAGTTTGTAGGGTTTGGCCCCACCTATGATACAGAGCACAGCAGAGATGATACAGAGCACAGCAGAGGAAGATCATGAAATGAATTACATAGCAACAGATGGTAAGTGTCATATAACACCGATGTAAGTTCAGCCCTGGCCAAAGGCGTCTGGTCCAGAGATGCAAATATGGCTACTAGGAGGGAGGGAGGTCACAGGATGGGCTAATACACTTAAAAGGGCTACTTAACATTATTATTCCTTAAAAACATTGTGTATTATAATATGCAATATATTATTATTTAGGTTCAAAGAGGACATTTTAAAATATTTAAAATGTATATATTGGATAGGCTGTCTCTGGAAGAGTAACACTAGTATTTCTGGTAGGGGTTGAGACTTTTCACTGCACTAACATTTAAAACAATTATGTACATGTTTTACTTTTTACAATATATATATGGAGAAATATAATAAAATCCAAAAAATAAAAATAATAATCTGTCCTCTGGTAAAAATAAAATATCAAGTAAAAGTAGCTTCTTATCTTCTTGGTCATTCAATATGACTATTTTTTAATGCAGTGCTCACAGTGGTTGGAGGTGTTTGATCATGATTGCAAAGAGTTGGCTTAGAACTGCTCAAGAAATTGGTGCACAATGTAAAAAGTTCAGTACAGGAAACAGGAATGAATTTCAATTGCATATAATAAATATTGTGTGAATGCTAAGCCTTATGATGTGTTCAAAGTAAGGAAAAGGAAAGAAAAAAGTGACACAAAATGCAATACCAACATCCTGTTTCTTGACCTGTCGACTTGCTGGGTACATGTTGTGTTCACTTTTTGAGAATCTATTGGCTGACGTACACTTTTGTGCAATCTTATGCACAAAAAAATGCTATGCTAAAATCTTTGTGGATGAATGGTACTATTTTGCACTCTCTACTCTCACCTTGTGGGCTTTAAGGAGGTAGGAGGTGATAAGCAATGGGCAGGATATGGGGATCAAAGGAGCTTCAGTTTGAGTTGGCTAATGCTGTTTTTTAATAAAGATTATCAATCTCAGAAAGTTGGAGAATATTGGAGGTAAAAGAAATCTTTCTCCTTTTTAAAATCTGACCCTTTTCTCCTAATATATGCACATACACCAACATGCAACAGACCAGCACTAAACTGAAGATGGTTCTCATGGAGCAGTACCTTCCTGTATGCCTGGGACCTTGGTGATCGCTAATGCCGTGACAGTAATTAGCACTGATAGTAGTTAGTGAATATGGCTTACACATGTGAGTACGGGCGACTAGAAGAAGGGTGAAGGAACCTGAAGAATACTCATCTGCAAGTCCAGTATATGATCTTAAAGGCCTTCGAAAAAGTCCTCTCCCACTGACTCACTTAGATATCGTAGAAGAAACAAATCCATTCCAGATCAGTTTCCCAAATCTAAATGTATTGTGAAAATACATTCCGGCTGTAATTTAATAGCTGACATCTAAAGTAACAAAGGTTGGATATTCTTTCTGATGTTCAAGTCTATCTCCTTCTGAAGTATTCAGGGTAATAAATGGGGCAATGAGTAACTCTAACCACAAGTTAGCACATTTAGTTAGTGGACTTCAGGTTTTCTAAGATCTCTTGCCATTCTTATCTCTACCCCAACAGTTAAACGTTTAGAAATAAAGTGTTTAAAATTGCTTAGCTGTTTTGTGCAATATTTATTATACTCAAAGGCACTGAAACAAAAATGGAAGCCTTGGAACAGATTTACTGACTTCTGAGCATAATTTATAGCCAATGAGCACCGGGCCAAGAACCAAGGGCTCTGCAAACTGGAAAAACCAAAAGGCAAAAGCATCCATGTGATTTTCTTTTCTTTTTTAAAATTTTTATTTATTTTTTAAAAGTTTTATTTATTTTAAAAGATTTTATTTATTTATTTTAGAGGGGAAGAGAAAAAGAGAGGGAGAGAAATATCAATGTATGGTTGCCTCTCATGCATCCCCTGCTGGGAACTGGCCTGCAACCCAGGCATGTGCCCTGACTGGGAATCAAACCAGGATTCTTTGGTTCACAGGCCTGTGCTCAATCCACTGAGCTACACCAGCCAGGGCCTCCATGTGATTTTATTAGTGCATGGCCTTTGGGCTTTACAAATATGTTCACTGAGAGATATTTATTCTTGACTCTCTGTTCTCATTTATAATGCATTTTTATATTTAAATGCAAATTATATTGCTAATGTTATTAATAAAATGCTATTAAATAGATAACATATTTAAACTTTACAATTTAGAAGGCATAAAGGATTAAGGTGAAAAGTTAGTTTCTTTCCTATACCTGTCCTCAGTTAAACACTCTATCTAGGGACAGTACATGTTAGCCTTTTTTTCTGTATCCTTCTTAAGATACTCTATAAATATTTAAGCATTTTTCTCAATATATGAATATAGGTATACGAGGTCTGTCTGGAAAAAGTCCAGCCACTGTTAATATAACGAGAATGGTTTGCACAATATCGATGTAACCTGGCAACCAAGGAGAGTGGACTGGAACGTGCATGTGTGAACAATGACCACTTCACTGTACCAGTCAGTGGGGGTGGTAGACATCACTGAGTGAGCATATGTACTCTGCGACCATCACATTCAAAATGACTGAGCAAGTAGAGCAACAAATCTGCATCAAACTTTGCATTAAGCTTGAACATTCCTCCATGGAAACTATTCAGATGATTCAGAAGGCCACAGCTATGGGCAACTGCTGACTGGCAACTCCACCATGACAACGTGACCGCTCATGCATCACATCTGCAGTTCTTTGGCAAAACATCACATCACCCAGGTGACTCAGCCCCCCCTGTAGCCCAGATTTGGTGCCCTGTGACTTCTGGCTTTTCCCAAAACTAAAATCACCTGTAAAAGGGAAGCAATTTCAGACCATTGATGAGATTCAGGAAAATATAATTGAGCAACTGATGGCAAGTCCCACAAAGGATTTTGCAGAGTGTTTTGCACAGCAGAAGAGAAGCTGGGAGAACTGTGTAAGGTCCCAAGGTGCCTACTTTGAAGGGGACTGAGGTGTCATTGTCCTATGTAAAATATTTCTTGTATCTTCTTCAATAAATGTCTACTTTTCAGTTACATGGCTGGATACTTTCTGGACAGGCCTTTGTATATGCACATGGATACATATAGTTTTAAGCAAATGAAAACATACCAAGTATAATGTCCTGTTCCCAACTTTTAAAATTTAATAACATATCTCAGAGATTATTCCATATCATCCTTTTACTTGATTGCTTATTATCCTATACTTAATTTGACCAGGCCCTATTATTTGCATTTTTCTAATAAAAATAAGGCTAAAATGAGTATCTTGGTGTTTATGATATTTCTTGATTGAGTATATTTGAATGGTAAATTCCTACAACTGGAATTGCTGGGTTAAATTGTATATACACTTTGACATATATGCAAAATTGTTCTCCTTAAAGGCTATGTCAAATTTCACTTCTGTGATTAACATATGAGAGGGCTGGTTTCTTTCTGCCTTACCCAACACAGTGAGTTACAACTAGTATGTGTGGTATATTATTGAAATTTCAATTTGTATTTCTCCTTTTGAGTGAGATTGAATATCTATTCATGTATTTAATAACCACTTATATTTCATTTTCTGTAAACTATTATGTCCCTAAATTTTGCCCATTTGAACATTAGATTGTTGGTTTTTTCCTTACTGACTTTAGGAATTCAGAGATTTTAACTATGGGTTAAACAGGGTTTGTGTGGGTTAGAATACATACCAAGTAATTATGTGTAAGATCCTTTCCATGTAAAAAAAAAATCCCAAGTTCCAAGCACAATTAATTTGTATACCAGATGGTGAATTGGAAGCTGCCTTGATTTCAGTCCTATTTTTTGCATCTTCAAACTGATTGGAATGGTTTTTACTGGTATGATTATGCACTGAGAAAACCCTAAAATAAAATCAGTGATTTTACTAACTTGAACAGTAAAATAATTCAGTACTTGGAGAAATGTAAATTACCATGCAGAAATCAGTAGCCTTCACCTCCACAAAAAATATCCTATTAAAAGACAGAATGATGGAGAAACCCCATTTCAATAGCAACAGAAAAAAATGAAGTACTTAGGAATAAATTTAACAAGAAAGGCACAAAACTGATATGAGCAAAATTTTAAAACACTTTTAAAAAATACAAAAGTAGACCTTAATAAATGAATGTTAACATTTATTTCTATTTTATTTATTTTTAAAAGATTTTATTTATTTATTTTTAGAGAGTAGAAGGGAAGGAGAAAGAGAAGGAGAGAAACATCATTGTCTGGTTGCCTCTCACGCATCCCCCACTGGGACCTGGCCTGCAACCCATGCATGTGCTCTGACTGGGAATCGAACCTGCTTCACAGGCCCATGCTCTATCCACTGAGCTACACCGGCCAGGCCACATTTTTTTTTTTAGATAGGACAATTTAGTATCATAAAGATTTCAGTTGTCCCTAAATTAATTTATAAATGTAATATAATTCCAAGAAAAATGCCAACTAACTTTTTTATGAGAACATGTTGATGTTAAATTTCATATGAAAAAATAAGTATATAGAAAAAGCCAGGAAAAGATGAAAGATAAAGAGCCATAAGGAGTTACTAACATACCTTAAAACACCTGGTAAAGCCTGTAACTGGAACAGTGTGTACTGGGCCATGAACCCACAGATGGGGCAGCAGAACAGAGCAGAAAGCCCAGAAATAGACCCACGTATATATGGAACTTAAGCGTATGATAAAGGTGGCATCTCGTATCACTAGAGCAAAGATGGACTTTATTCTTGTTGTAAGTGGTGCTGAGACAACTGGATAGTCATTAGGAAAGAAATAAAATTAGATCCATATCTCACATGTGTACAGAAATAAGTGCCGATAAATCAGGGGTCTAAGTGTGAAAACTGAAACCATACAAGTACTAGAAGAAGACATCACTGATTTTTACTTTAATTTTGGTGTAAGGAAAGTCTATGACTCAAGTCCAGATGGCACATAAGAAAAGTACTGATAAATTTGACTATACAAAAAAAATTAACTTTAGTATGTCCAAAAACACCATAATGAAATATTTGACAATTGACAAACTGGGAGAAAATATTTGTGAAATATATTAGTTAGGTAACATCTCTAATATATAAAGAACTCTTAAAAATTGAGGGGGGAAAACACCAAAACCTCAATACAAAATGGCAATTTACAAAAATAATGTAAAAATGGCCCACTGGCATATAAAAAGATGTTTCACTTTACTTATAACAGAAATTTAGTAACAAAAACAAAGTATCCAGATATTAGCATTTCTCATATCAGGTTGGCAAAAATGTAAAAATATAGTACTTCTTTAATAGCTGGACATAGTGAAAATTTGTACAACCCATACACCTATGGAAAGGGGGTGACAGAATCAAATGTACTCACTATGAACTGTAGATATGTATCAGTATATATATGTGGATGTGTGTATACACTTATGTGTGTGTATATCCCCACACATACATCTAGCTCCCATGTTTGTCTGGTGAGAGCGCCTAGAAGCAATGACAGCCCAGTAGCAATGAGCACACCTAAAGCACAAATCTTGGTTTCTACATGCCACACTCCACTAAGAGGAATCAGGGTTCCTTGGGAAAATGTCTGATTTCTCCAAGATAAACCTAGAATATTATGTTGTACTAAGTAAGTTAAGTGCTCCAAGATTAAAGAGGATGTGCGGAAAGGATAGAAAAGCCAGACTGAAGAGGCTCCCACTGCCCAAGTTAGAGGAAATTTGAGCACTGAAATAATTACAGCAAAGTATTATAACTTATTGATTAAAACAAGAATCCATGAGTTCATAGTGAAATTAACGAGTAAATGGAGAAGGGAAAGTTATTTATAGTACTATAGAAAAGCAACTAATAAATATATTAGGAATGACTGAATTACAAAATCACCATTTGGCAACCATCCTAATAATTTATTGAAGCAAGAAGCATCAGTGGATGCTGAAACTAATAGGCAAAAGTTTTAGGAATAACAGAATATGTACATGTCTAAAAGTATCTCCTCGTAAAACACTTGTTAATGATGAGGGGAAAGTAGTGGCTTTACAGTGGAGAAATGGCACCTGAGTGAAGTGTTCAAATAATAGAGCACATCAACATCATGTGCCTCGTATGCCTCTCCATGTGCCAACATGTATCACTGAGAAGATACAGCATCACTCTTGTGATATTTCTGCACAAACCGTAACCTGAGTCTAATCATTAGGAAACATCAGACAAACTCCAACTGAGAGAGTTTACAATAACTAGTTTGTCATGCACAGTACAGTGTTCCACAAACAGATGAAAAATAGAATTGACTTTTTAAAAATTAACTAATTTGCACGCTTCCAGAGCACTGTTTGCATAAGTTTATATTTGAAAATGAAGGACATGAGAAAGCTCACTGCCAGCATAGCTAGTTTCAAAAGCAGTTGGTCAAGTTGTTCAGAAGCAGTTGGTCAAGTTGTAATTGTTCCTGCTGATTAGCAGCCATGCTTTGGGCAATTTGATTTTTATCAGGAAGGGTAGGGAGGAACGGTTACAGGACAGAAGGACATGCAAGGGCCATAGTTAAAAGTTCTGTTCGTTGTGGCCTGCTAAAGGGTCTTCACATGAAATTTCAAGTCCTAATATAATGAAAGTCAAATGGCTCTTTATTCTTTTTAATTTAAAGCTGTATTTCAAAATGTTCCTGCTAAATTTCATCGATTTCACCAGCAATGAAAAGTGGTTGTAAAAAAAAAAGTGGTTGTAATATAATCTGCTTCATGCAAAGGAAAATAATTATATGCATATAAGAAGAAAATATTCTGTTAAAGGGTAATTTTCCAAAAAAAGACAAAATCATGACCCATATACAGACAAAAATGAATATATTATATTCAACTCATTAATGAGAAAATTGATATAGTGTTAAACTAGTTCAAAGGACAATCCAAAGAACAGATTAGGAATATTAAATGTGCAAGTGGAGGCAAAAACGGTTTTTTCCGTGGTGGTGGGGGTGAGGGTGGGGGTATATATCATTCCACTGGATAAAATTCATTTGCATAGGCATAAAACAAAAAATAGTTTCCATTGCTATCAGTTATCTACAACTTATAAAGTTGTAAAATAACCCACATGGCATCGGATTAATTAAACCTGAAAGGATTCAGTGCCTAATTTTTTTTTTAACCTGCAATTGTTATTATGTATCTCCAGACATGGGGTAGGCAGAAAGTCATGGGCGGCAATGGGAATATACTGGTCAGAAGGCTAACTTCCCAATTCAGTGAGCATGTGGTTAAGGGAATTTTTCTTTACATTTACTGATTATTTCAAGCAAATTAGGTACTATAGTGCTTTGGTTCACTATTTGATTGTCAGGGAGCCAGCTCTGACGGGGCTCTCATGTGGACAAGCTAATGAGCTACCCAGTGCCCACACAGCACCCCAAACAACTCCAGGGAAGCCTAAGTAAAACTGCACTTTCAAAAGGGCACCATGCAGTCGCAGTGTGTACTGAGGCCCGTTTGCTAGTGGGAAGTGACTTCACAGGTGTATGCTACTCATAAATAGAGTCTGACACATCATTTAGACTTCTGCCTCTTCGTCCTCCCACCCTCACGAGGCTGAACTCGTGCTAGAAATGACTGTACCCCTACCTTTAAAACATCATAGTTCAGGATCTGGAGGCAGAACTGAGTTTGGATTAGGCTCAACCAACTACCAACAAGTTTGTTTATTCTGGAAAAAGGGGGGGGGGTGCGTTAATTATAATTCCTAGCTGCCAGTGTTGTTGCGAGATTTAAAGAGATGAGGGAAAAGAGAAATGGGGGCAGTGAAAATGCTTTGGAAACTCGATAATAGATCTGTTAGAATGCCACGCCACAAAGTTCATAGCTGGAAAGGTTAGAGATCTTTGCCCCTGTGAAGCATCAGTGTTTTCTTCCACGGAGCCAGCGGGCCTCGCTCGGACACAGCTGCTGGGGCAGGGCAGCAGCAGCCGCGCGAGCTTGGGCCGCAGGCTCCTCCCCCGTCTCACCGGTTCGCGTGGGGTGAGAGCCGCAGGGGGGCCCGGCGCCGGCCTCTCCGGCCCGCGCCCGCAGGGGGTGAAGTCCCGGGGCGGGGCAGGCCCCGGCCGCCCAGTTCCTGATTCTATCTCTAAGCTGTGCCCCAGGCTAGTGGCGCCACAGGCTCGGGGACCGTGAACCGCGAAAGATGGGCCCGCGCGGCGCTCAGAGCCTGCCCCGAGGCCCCGGCCTGCGGCTGCCGCTCCTGCCCGCCACCCTCCCGCCGCTGCTGCTGCTGCTGCTGCTGCTGCCGCCGCCGGGCGCCGGAGCCGACCGGCAGCCCCACCTCGTCTTCGTGCTGGCGGACGACCTGGGCTGGAACGACGTGGGCTTCCACGGCTCGCACATCCGCACGCCGCGCCTGGACGCGCTGGCGGCCGGCGGAGTGCTCCTGCAGAACTACTACACGCAGCCGCTGTGCACGCCCTCGCGCAGCCAGCTGCTCACCGGCCGCTACCAGGTACGCGGCGCCCCCGGCGGCCGCCCGCTCCGCCGCCCGCCGCGCAGCTCCGGGCCCGGCCCGGCCCAGCCCGCGAGCCTGCGGGAAGTGGGTGGAAACCCTGGGGCGAGCCGCGCTCAGTGCCCCGAGCCCCAGGCGAGCGAGGCGGCTTCTTGCCCAGCTGCACCGCCTCCGCGGCGGCCTATGCGCATGCTTGGCTCCTCGGCGGCCGCAGTCCCCCGCGCCCCGCCTCCAGGGTGGTTTTTCTGTCTTTCGTTTTCTGAAGGTCCGGGGGTGGAGGGGTTTCTGGAGAATGCTGGGTGCTGGGCCCTAGTGGGTGGGCGGGAGGGTCGGAACGGACTCTGCGGGGCGATCCTGGACTGGGAGGATGGAGAGGGAGCTGGCAGGGCGCCCGGAGAGGCAGTGAGAGGCGGGGAGCCGCCAGGCTGGGGGGAGAGTTAAAGTGAGAGTGCCCTCGGGGTACGGCTCTGGTCCCCTGTGACCCCAGCCGTCGCGGGCTAGGACGGTCCGACCAAAGATTAAAGTAATTTTTCCAAGTTTTGGCATCCCTGCAGTGAAACTTGCACAGGTTGATTTTTCTTGGGTTGCTGACGTTCCTTTCACATTTAACCTGTATTCAACCAGTACTCTGAGCATCTTCATTGTCTCCGAAAGCTTGTCTTTAAAACTTCTTTGTAGTTAATAGAAAAAATATATATACTTGTAAAGAGTGTGCATATGTGTTAGGTAACTTGAAAAATGGAGAACGTTTGCATAGTGCTTTACTGTTTTTAAAGGTAATTCTCAAAACAACCTGTGAGGTAGCAGTTATTTTTAATCCCCTTTTACAAATCAGGAAACAAACCTGCAGAGGTTGAATGATGTGTTAAGACTCACACAGCTAGAAAGCAGCTGAGCTGGGTTGGTGCCTTTCCTGCACCCACTAGGCATCTCAAGCCTCTTATTCTTAATCTGAATTAGATGGACATTTTCGTAAGATCCTGATGTGATTTTGACCATATTAAATACCATAAGTGGGAACCGTCTGAGATCACATGCATACCCTCATATATGCATATGTACTGTCTCTTTATGAGCATACTTTATGCCCTAGCTGTACAAAAAATATTCTTGAACCTTGCCACCCCAAATCTGTGTTCCTGTAGCATTTCAGATCAACCCTACCTCTTGTCCTGAGATCAAGAGAAGGGAGATGTTCAGTTGTAACAAAGATTTCCACAGTGGTCTGAAGACTTCTAGAAACAGAAATGGGAGTTGCACAAACAGTCCGAGAAATGGCTGTAGTGAAGGTTTGCAATGGAGATAAAGGATGGTTCCTTTCACTGCCAGCCCTAAGTACTTGCTACATTCTAACTTTGGCTGCTAAGTATAATCAGGAATATCTACTCTGGTGCAGATCTTACCCTGAGTGCTTTGTAGGACTAAAGGAGCATTTGAGTGAAGAAGAAAGGAAAACGAAGAAAGGCATCTGCTCAAAATGGTTTTGCATTTGCTCCAAAGCAAGGGAACTGAACTCAAATTACAAGAAGAATGGGAGGGGCTATTCCTTTCTCTAACTTCCTCCTTTCCAACAGACTTGAACAGGAAAGCAAATACTGTACTTCAATAATTTGCTCATGTAATTGGCTGCTTTTGTCCCTTAACATCCTCCCCTACCAGTCAGGAACATTTCATCTTGAAAAAAAAAAAACCAAAAACCAAAACAAAAACTTGAATATTTAGAGTTACCTGCAGTTAGGAAGTGAAGACAGGGTAGAGGCTGGGTGTTCCAAAACAGTTTAGAGGTCACTCAGCATAGCAAGTCATCCTCACCAAGCATTTTGTTTGACTTTTCTGTTTTATTCTGATAGAGTTCATGAAGCCCAATTAGAAATTACCTTGGGTTAGAAAGTATCCTCTTTTAAATGAGTCATTATTTCTCAAAGAGTGAAGAAGCCTCTTGCTCTCAGATAGTATGTACTGGTACTGTTCTAAGCACTGAGATACATTCTGACAGCAACCTGATGAAGTAGGAATCACTATTATCCGTACTGTTTGATAACAGGGAAACTGAAGCTGGACTATGTTGAGAAACTTGCCTAAAATCACAGGGCAAGTAAGTGGTAGACCAGGATTTGAACTGCAAAGGATTCGTGGCTGCATACCCACTATATTATTTTGCCTACTCAGAATTATTAAATATATTTACTGAATGATCTATTATTTTAGATATTTAGGTTGTTCCTCAACATCTCAATTTAAAAAATTATCCAATCATATTTCAGGTTAGGAATTGACTGATAAATGTAAAATGGGAATAGGGAAAAAGGCTTTATTTCTGAAACAAAGCATGTGTTGTGCATAATTTTAGACAATAAAATGAGGAAATTTGTTTCTTTTAAAATTAGGTATGTGAAAGAACTACGTTACTTAATAGCCTATATGTGAATTTAGCAGGCATGCTTTAATATTTACAGGCCCCCCCTTCTCATAATCATTTAACTTTAGAGCAGAAGAGCATAAAATGATAAGCAAGCCTAGACTGACTGATGGAACTTTACATTTCCAAGAAGTACTGACTTTTAGTATTTTAGTTTAAGTATTTAGTTCATCAGAACAGTTAATAATGAGATGTGGGTTTCCTTCTTGCCATGACAATTTACAGGCTCTGACCTTACTAGACAACATTTTCCACTGCTGGAAAGTATGGGAAATGTGCTGAACTCTGAGGCCCTATCTCTGTAAATTTCTTTGACTCTAAGACTCCTGTGTCCATTAGAGCAAATAGTAAACATTTGCTCTGTGGCTTGGATAAACATTATTATACTCACTAACCCCATCTACTGGTAGAAAGATTAACCTTGTCCAACACTGTCTTACAGGTGCAAGAGCTGCTTGTTCTGCTGCTGCAAACTTGTTCAAATGAAAACATGAATTCAGCCTTTTCTGTTGAGATATATAATTGTTTAGAGTCCTCACATATGAACATTTTAAAATATGCATGCTTTTCTGAAAGAAATGAGTAGAGATTGGGAAAAGGGGGAAAGGGAAGCTGATGAGCAGATGAGGTAAGAAAGTTACGCACAATTTCAGAAATAGAAAATTCAGGTCTCTGTACACTTAGGCTAGTGTTCTTCCCATGGCCCTATAAGGCTCATCCATATTCATTATTTTTCAAATCTATATTTTACTTCTTTTTGGAATAGAAAATACATTCACATGATTAAAACTCAAAAGTTACAAAAAGAGCTTACAGTGAAAATATCTTTCTACATACACATACACACACCTTTTCTTCCTTAGGTATCAAGTTGCCCATCTTTTGCAGGCAAACAATGCTATCTGAATTATGTACGCAGTATTTTATTAAATACAAGAAAATACATACTCTTCACACTGCTTTGAACCTTGTTTTTCTAAACTTTAACATTTGAAATAAGTCCGTATTTTTATTTAAAAAGTATTCTCAGCTTTCATGGCTGTATAGTATTTTGTTAAATGGATATATCATGATTTATTTAACCAGTCTCATAATGATGGGCATATAGGTTGTTTCCAGGCTTTTGATACATCAGAGAATGCTGAAGTCAATAAATATGTCACAATAAATTTGCACGTTTGAATACATCTGTAGGATAAATTTTTTAAAGAATTTTCTGTTCAGTGCATTTGTAATTTTGATAAATATTGCAAAATTCCAATTCAGTCGGTTGTATCATTCTACATTCCTACCAGCAGTATCTGAAATTGCTTAATGTTCTATACTCTTTTTTAAAAACTATATTTCACATACCATAAAATTAACCATTTTAAGTGTATAATTTGTTGTTTTTTTGTATACCCACAAAGTTATGCAACCATCACCACTACTATTTCCAGAACCTGTCCAGTACCCCAAAAAGGAACCCCATAACCATTAGCGGTCAGTCCCCATCCCCATCTTCCCGTAGCTCTGGCAAACACTAATCTGCTTTTCATCCCTATGGATTTGCCTCTTCTGGACACATATAGAATCATACAGTAGGTGTTCTTTCATCCATATCATAGCGTGTATCACTCCTTTTTATGGCCAAGTAATATTCCATTGTATGGAAATACAAACGTTATTTTTCCATTCATCAGTTAATGGACATTGGAGTGTTTTTTTTGTGTGTGATTATGAATAATGCTGCTGTGATCATCCGTGTACAAGTCTCGTATGAACATATCTATTTCAGTTTTCTTGGCTGTATATCTAGTAGTGGAATGCTAGGTCATGCGGCAACTCTGTGTGTAACTTTTTGAGGAGCTTCCAAACTGTTTCCACAGCAGCTGCACTGTTTCACATTCCCACCAACAGTGTGTGTGGGCTCGCAATGTGTGTGGGCTCGCAATGTGTGTGGGCTCGCATCCTTGTCAACACTTACTGTCTGCGTTTTTTATTATAGCCTTCTAGTCAGCGCAGTGGGTATAAAGTGGTATTTCACTGTGCTTTTGATTTGCATTTCCATAATGACTAGTGACATTAACTGTCTTTTTTATGTCTTATTGGCCATTTGCGTATTTCTTTGGAGAAATCCCTACTCATGTCCTCTATCTCCTTTTTAATTGGATTGTTGTCTTTTTATTGTTGAGTTGTTAGAGTTCTCTGTATATTCTGGATATTTGACCTTTCCATATATATAATTTGCAGTTACTTTCTTCTCTTCTGTGGGTTGTCTTTTTATTTTCAAGATGTTTTTTATGTTTAAAAGTTTTAAATTTTAATTTATTTCAGTGTATTTCCGTGTATTTCAGTTTATTTACTTTGCTTTGGTTGTGCTTTTGGTGTCATATCTAAAAAATACACTGTCTGATTCAAGGTCACCAAGACTTCCATGTTTTCTTCTAAGAGTCTTGTAGTTTCAGCTCTTCCATTTAGGTCTTTGATCCATTTTTTAAATTTTTGTATATTTTTTGAAGATGTGGATGCACATGGATGTCCAGTTGTTCCAGCACTATTTGCTGAAAAGACTTCTTTTTCCATTGAACGGTCTTTGTAC